TATGCATATAAGGTCTTTGGTTGATTGCCTCCCACCCACCCACTCTCCCCCGCCTTCTCCAAGATTCCTCACTCTGTTCCATGCTCCCATGTCTCTGGATCCACTCCGTTCATCAGTTCATTTTGTTACTTAGGTTCCACATATGAGTGAGATCATGTGATAGTGATCTTTCTCTGACTGACTTATTTCACTTAGCACAATACTCTCCAGGTCCCTCCATGCTGTCTCAAAGGGTAAGAGATCCTTCTTGTTTACTGCTGCACAGTCTTCCATGGTGTAAATGTACCACGGCTTTTTTATCCATTCGTCTACTGATGGACACCTGGGCTGTTTCCAGGTTAGGTGCTCTTTTCTACCCTCCCTTTGCAACTGCCTCTCTTTCATTGCCATTCCTGGTTTTACTGATGGATCTGTTATCCCACCCTATCGAGCTCCCCGATTACATCCATAGCCTTCTTCCTGGCCTCAGTATCCCGCCAGCTCTACTGTAGTCCATTCTGCACATGGTGACCCAGACGGGCTACTCCAAGTGTTTTTATGTAATCTCAGGTTTTCTCTTTGCCCAGCATCCCCTCTCCACCCAATTCCTTTGCCTCTTTCATTGCCTAGATGGTCAGTTACTTTGGGACTTAGTTGGCACTGCGTTGTTCCCACGTGGAAAGATTTCTCAGGGCCTCTTCCCTGCTACCCCGGGATTCCTAGTAAGAGGTCACTTTGTGAAGGAGGTCTTCCATTTTCCACTCACCCTACCTCCACTTCCAAGTTGTCCCTCTAATGTAGGTTTGCCAAGTAAAAGAAAAGCTCGGCTAAGTTTGAAGTTCAGGTTAATAATAATTTTTCGTATAAGTATACTTAGCATCCTGTATTTTTATTTGCTCAATCTGGCAACCCGACCCTGGCATGCTCCCATCACAACCGGTACCTCCCCTCTCACAGCTTTATCACAGGTTACATGCGGTTGGGTCTTTCTTGTTCACTGTTGTAATTTCTTTGCTTGGCATCTTGCCTAGAATATAATAGATCCTCAAAAGAGATTTGGTAAATAAATAATGGAATATCCTGGATGAATGATGAATCCTTGGTGGATATTCCTGGAGGAACTGTCTTCCATAAAATAAGAAACACTTATGAAATATGCTCTTTGAAATGTAATGATCAGTTTAATCTTTCAGATTTTTACATATATTTTGTGAATGAAGCATGTTTTTACTTTTGCCTAAGTAGAAAAAAAAAACTTTTGTTGGAAAAACATGAGAACATGTATTTCATAATTTTTGTTTTCAGGTATGGTGGATGGTTGTGAGGCGAATGCCGTCAGATTGTAAAAAAACTATCTATCCCTATTATGACTAGTCATTTTCTGTCCCTGCAGAGTCTGTTCACCACTTGAATCTATTTATTTGCGTCAATAACAGGGAAAAAGCCTAGAATGAGTAAATATTCAGAACCTTCTGCTTTTATATCAGAACTCTTTAAGCTTTTTTCCAATTAACCTCAGTTTCCTTGCTGGTTGCAAGATCTTTTCCAGACATCTTCTTTTTTTTTCTCAGCTATGTCTTGTCTGAGAGGATGTGGACCATCAAGAGAGATTGAAGGTAAACCAAAATGCCTAATATGAGTATCCCATTACCAACCTGATAATGTGTTTATTGACTTGGTTTTTGTTAACATTAATCTCAGGCTAGAGGTTTGAACCACACTTCTGGAACTGACCTGTCCAACAGCAGTTGCCTCTAGTCAGATCTAGTACAATCAAATACAGTAACTGAATTTTAATTGTATTTAATTTTAATTTAAGAAACTGATAATCAATTTTGTGACCAGATCACTTTTAAGTATGTTAGGAAAACTTGAGTTATGTGAATCTACTTTGTCAATTAAATTTTTTGAAATACAAATACAGATCCAGTGTATCTGGTCAAAAAAAAAAAATTAGCATCTGACTTGAGATATGTTGTAAGTGTAAAGCATATGCAGGATTTTGGAGATTTATTATAAAAATGTAAATGGATCATTGATAATTTGTTACAATGATTATAAGTTGAAATTACTGTATTTTCACATTTGGGCTAAGGAAAATATATTATTAGTTTTACCTGTTTTTTTAATCTTTATTTTTTGAAATAGGCTAACAGGAAATTTAAATTTATTCATGTGGTTTGTGGTGTATTTCTTTTATACAGTTCTGTTATAGACTGTGCCTGGCCACAGCTTATTAAAAGTCTTAGAATGAAAATATAAGTTAACTAAAATATTTCCATATCATTGCTTATTTTTTTTATCAAAGACACAGATCAGAGTTTATTGTTTTTTGTTTTTTATTATTAAATCTTTATTGTTCAGATTATTACATTTGTTCCTCTTTTTTCCCTCCATAACTTCCCTCCTCCCAGTTGCCGCCCCACCCTCCGCCCTCACTCCCCACCCACTGTCGTCATCCATAGGTACACGATTTTTGTCCAGTCCCTTCCCGCATCTCCAACACCCCTTTCCCCCCCAAGAATAGTCAGTCCATTCCCTTTCTATGTCCCTGATTCTATGTTTTAAATGTTAGGAGTAACAGGGAATCTCCGAGATCACAAACTCCCCTATTTATGTTATCAATGAGAATACTGAGGTCCAAAAATTGAATCACCCATACAGATAATAAAAGAGAAAGAGAT